ATATATGAAATGTATTGTAAACATCAACATGATCATACCTTCAATAATACTTTAATTGCTTTATCCACATCATTTTTTACTTTACACAAAAATCTTGCATACTTTACTACAATATTATTTGCGATAGTTCTATTCTTACTATTGCTAATATAATTTTCATACAATGTACAAGCTTTATCTAAATCTCCTCTTCTACGTTCTAAATTTATTCTCCGATATGCCACTTGTAACATGTTTGGTATTACATTATCAATATTTTCCAATATGTTTGCTGCTTTTTCAAAATTACCCTGACCTTCTTCAAATGTAGCCCACTGCAAATGTAAATTTGGCTTCTTTGGATGATGCACTGTACAAGCTCTAGTATATACATCTCTTATTTTTTCCACATTATCGCCTTTCAAGGATTCCAAATAACGAACAAACTATAAAATAATTAAAAAATATTTAAAAATTAAATACAGAAATATTTTCGAATCAAAATAAATAAGAAAAACTTACTCTCATCCAAAATTCATCATATAAAGCGCATGCTATTAAACATCTTTCAAACAAAATGATTATTCGATTTTGATCTTTTTGTTCAATTTCAAAATCTAAATATTCCTTCCAATTTTTTAATTGACATCGTTCTAAAGGTTTGACATGGAAATATGGTCTTTTAATCTGTAAGTAAAGATTAAATATTAAATAATAAATATCACATTAAGTATATGATGTACTTACACCTTCTTCATATGACCATCTTGCAGCAACTGCATTAATATTAGCTTTATGCATTTTACGTCTACTACTAATAATTTTTTCTCTAATAGCACGAGTTTCTTCATCAGTTGGAGGAAGTTCATGTGGCGGTGGTTCTTCACCAGGTGGTGCATCATCAGCTGCTGAAGTAGAAGTAGTGTCATCCGATTTCAAAAGTGCTTTCACTTCAGCACGTAATGCAAGAAAATCGTCAACATTTAAAATACGATTTGGTAAATTTGAAGAAACAAATTCTTGAAATGCATCAAAATGAGAAATATAACCAAGTGTTGGAGTACATAATAAACGATCATATAATGCTGTTACTCTGCTTAGACGTTTGCCTTCTAATTCCCATTTTATATAACTTTCCCAAAGACGATCAGATCTAAATAAAAAAATATACATCTGTTATAAATATTACATAAATATGTGCATAAAAAATCGAAGATATTTCGCACCTGAATTCAAGACCACATGCCTGGATAGCTTTTTCATATTGTTCTCGAAGTTTTTCTTCGTCTTTTTCATAAACGGTTTTGCAGTGGTTGATGTAATGAAGCCAAAGGTCGACACTGAGCGAAATAGCTTTCAAACCTTGGTCGAATACCTGTAGTAATGGTTTGCAATCACATTTAGAATAGTTTACAAGTGATTGGGCTGGTGGCGGGTAGACTTATACCTATTTTTTGTTTTTTTTTATTTTTTTTTTTAAGCTTTCGATAAGCATTACGGTTTTTTAGCAACGTATACTCACATATCATACGCGTACTGTAAATAAATAGATTTAATTAACACAGAGATTGCAGAGCATTGTGCATTCACCTTAAAGTCAAGGAGTGTTCCGATCTGGGTGCCTCTGTGTCTTCCGCCACATTTTCTTGCTCCCTCTCTGGCATGTTCACGTCCTAAGTCTTTGTTTCTGACTTTGATTTAACACCCAACCCAATCTTACTTACATTAAGTAAGGTACCGCATCTTATGCTTAAGTTACAATACTTTCTGTAGTAAGCTATGTGTACAAATGCTTACAGTAAATATTATACACAATTTCTTGCACGGTAATATCGCAAATTGAAACAACTAGCCTTCGCTTGACTTACGTATCGTATGTAGAATATCGATATAACGGTATAAGTAAAACAGTAATATACGCAATAATATTGTAGATATCGCAGAATAATTAAGTAACTAGCTATTTGGTAAACGGAGAGAGTCGTATAGGTGCCGCAAGACGTGCTAGGCTGTTGGAAGGGAAAACCATATTTACGTGCGTGCACACTGCCCACGCGTCTTCCTAACTCGAGCTATTTTCATTAGATTGCGTTAATTAAATGATATCATAATAAGAAATAGATCTAATAAATATGGTAAACGAATTGACTCACCCTTTGGACATTATCGGGGTTGCCCTTCTTCTTCTCGTAATCAGCGAATTTTCTCCAATAACCATAGCAATATGGATAACGATCCAAAAATTTGGTATAAGCCTCACGTGCAGCCTCTGCATCATTCTACGTGACAAATAAATCATATATTAAGTATAATTTTTATAGTATTGTTGCTTTTTAACTTACTTCTTGATCAACATATTGGAGAAGATAAGTCCATCCTGTGAAATCTGATGGATCTTCGTTAACAGCTTTCCAGTATTTTTCTAATTCTGGTAATGTCTTTTTCTTTGGCGATGCTGGTTTAGTTTCTTGCTTATTATCCCCTGGATCTGTTTCTGTTGAAAGAGCTACCTTCTTTGCTGGTGTTTCATCATTATTTTCAGATGTTGGTGAACTAGGATCATACTCTCCTTCTGCATTTAATTTACGTTTATCTGAAAACAAATATAATACAAAATAAAAAGACCGAAATATAACAATTTTAAAAATTTAAATAAATTTTTTTTTCTTACTTGTGCCTTCCGTTTTGTTCTTCTTTTCTGCGATTTTATTCATTACCTTTGTTCCGCTTTTCTTTTTTCTTTCACTATCTAATGGTAATTCATCTTCAGAAACTGATTCAGTTTCTCCCAAATCTGCTGGAGCTGCTGCTGGTAATTCTTCATCAGATACAGCTTCTGTTTCAGGTTCCTAAATGTTAAAAATAAAATATTATATAAATTATAAACACACATGCAAGCACGCATGCACATACAAAATATTATAAGTTTTTAATCTTACTTCTTTAATAATAAAATACCTTTGTGGCAGCTTCAGTAGGCAATTCATCTTCAGATACAGCTTCTGTATCAGGTTCTGTTTTTTTTATAGCATTCTCAGACAAACATTCCATGTCAGTCTCTGTTGTTTCTGATATTTCCATCATTTCTGTCATATCATAATCAGGCACAGTTTTTTCTATAACATTTTCTATACTTTCCGATGTTTCTTGTTGACAATCTACTTCTACAACTTCAATTCCAGTACTTTCATTTATAACAGTTTCAGATTCAATTTCTTCTGTTTCTAGGATTTCTGTCACTTGTGTTATTGTTTCTCCATCATCATTCATAACTTCTTGAAAATCTATCAATACACGTTGATTTGTTTCATCATTACTAATATCTTGTCCTTCCATATCCATTTGTTCACGTTCATTTAACATATCAACTTTATCCATACTACTTTCTTCTATGATCATAGGATCTGACACTGTAGTAGAATGATCCTAAAATAAAAATATTTTAAAATATAATTCAAATTAAATTTAAAAGAAAGAAATATATTTTATTTACAATTTGAGATGCAGATGTTTCTAAATCAGGTACAGTTTCTTGGATTCCTATTTGTACAGTCTGATTCATATTGATTTCATGAATAGTAGTATCACCAGAATCTTCTAATTCTAAATGTAACATAGAGGAATCATCTTCATTATGCTGTTCAATTATAATATCACCAAATCTTTGCACTCCATTCTCAGGAATGCTTTCCATTACCACTTCTTCTTGTAATATAGGTTCCTCTTCCTGAAAAATTATAAGAAATTATTTCTATTAAATAAGATATTGAATACGAATTTTAATGATTACAAGAACAACTTATAGTACTATAGAATTTACGTACCTCGACCTCTTCGATTTCTTGCACTTTTTTCGGAGAACGTGTTGCCCTCGCTAAAAGTTTTTTTACAGGAGATTTCTTTGCTACCACGGTAGTCTTTCGTGTACGACTAGATCTCGTACGTCGTACTGAAAAGAATCAAAATATAAAAAAAAAATGCAAAATTTGAATAAGATATTTACGTTACATGCGTATGTGAGACGCCATTCGTTTAATGGCGGTTTGCAGGTCTTTACTACCGGGTTTATTAATATTTTTATTTCATTTTATACAACTGTATATAAATATAAATGAAAATCAATATTATGTCATGTTAAATACAGTTTCTTTCATAAATATCATCTTCTTACCGGGTTCATTTAAAGCGATCTCACTTTCATCACCACTTGCGGACGACATCTTGCCTCGATGCAATCTCTGGAATGTAAAACGCAGAACTGATGAAGAAAATGGCGGCAGAATGCTAGGAGAGACTCTTAGTAGTATATTTATGAACTAATATGATATAGGTGATAAAGTGATAAACTAAGTTAACATTCATCGGTAATAACTGTGCCGGGAAATACAATAAATATATAAATGTTATCTTTTATAATTTTATATTTTTAAACATTGAAAGAAAATCTTTTTAAAATTATCAGTTTGTAATGTTATATATATTTTTATTGTACTATATGTCATAAAATTTATATTTAATGAATAATATATTCTTAAAGAAATGGTACCATTAAATATCATAAAATCTTTATTATTTACTTATTAAATACATTTTAATTCTTAATAAATAAAATAATAAATGAACAAAATATAAAATATAAAATATAAAATTTAAAATTGTGTGAAGAAAACAATAAAGTTTCTTAAGTACATATACGCATGTGCAAGGGAATACAATAAAGGGCGCAAGTGCATAAAGTAATCTATCTCGTGTACTTAGAATATATACTAAATGAAGTAAATAGTAAAATGCACATAATATAAGTTTTTCTATGTATATATTTTTGTATACGCGATTTTGTAAAACAACGTTTGTTGATGTTTGTAAATCCATGTTATATATTCATGTTTCAAGTTAAATGTGAATCAAAACAAGCGATGCTGAAGAAGATTACGAATTATTCTATTTTATTTATGATTTTTCAATTGCAAACATTTCAAAATTTTGAATCTTATTGTTTTTTTCTTTCATCTTCTTTGTTAATAAAAACGATTGTTTCTGTGCAATTATTTTTAGAAAAACTTAATTATTGAATTTCGAAAATATTTTTTAAAAAGATGATCTAAAAACAGTTTTCATTTTCAATATTTATACAACATTGGGAATGTCAGAATGTTTAGTTCAACTTGTATTTGGCGATAAAAAGTGTACTTGGTACTATAGGAATTCAAAAATTTGCGATAGGAAATGTCTTACAGTGATGGCGGGCGTCCAATACGAAAGTACGGCACTAAGTCGCCAAAAAAACTTTGCGTGACCAAGAATGAAAATAGTGATAAAACAACAACTACCATTAATTGCAATAATCATCACCACAATCATTACCATCATAATCATCGCTTTCTCGACGCCCCTCAGCCGTCAGTACACAAACGTAATCTCTATATTGTTTCTTTTCCTTTGATATTGCTTTTTAATGTTCTGAGGACACTTCTTTATCAATTATTTGTGGTATTCAAATACTTATATACATCTACATCTCAGCTGATTCAACGAAGACAAGCTTGCAAGCAAACCTGTCAGCTAGAAATTGTAGTTGGTCAGAAATCTAGTGAAAATTTAAATAATAACTTAAATAATACTGAACAAATTGAAAACGAGGGAATGTCGCAAGTGCCTAGAAGGCCAATTGGTCCTGGTCCAGGAGATCCCTTACTTGCAAAACAAAAACATCATCATCGTAGAGCTTTTGAATTTATCAGCAAAGCTCTTAAAATTGATGAAGATAATGAAGGTATGATATCATAAAATTATGTAATATAAAAAATTATATTTGAACTATATTGTATAATTTTTTATTTTTTTATATATATAATATATCATTTTTATAATTATAATTAATCAATAGGTCAGAAAGAAATGGCAATTGAACTTTACAAGAAAGGAATTGGAGAATTAGAAAAAGGAATAGCTATAGAATGCACTGGTGGTCGGGGAGAAGTATGGGAACATGCACAAAGACTTCATGATAAAATGCGCACTAATTTAGCAATGGCAAAGGACAGACTTGATTTTCTTGGTTTGTAAACATATATTTTAAGTATATAACATTTCTTAAGCTGTTTTAGTCATATAAAGTTTACTTATAATTATTAAATTAAGTTATAATACAGCTTAAGGAGTAACACTATTACTGTTTAGCATGCTCATGTGTTAATTGTTCTATAATGTTCACGCGTATGTATGTATCTGGGTGTGTGTTTGATGAAAGTACTAATGTGTGAATGTACCTGTACATGTATGCATGCGCGCGTTATTCCTTTCTTTAATGGTTTTATTTTTTGGCACAATATTTTTTTTTTCATAAGCGATGCAAATTTTTATGTATTAACTAGTAGCCAAACTTCATATAGTAGCATTTCTAACGGCCATTCAAGCATTCATCTCAAATTTAAAAACTAGTTATATATAATTTACAATTTGGATAAAAATTATCAAAATTATGGGTTCAAACTGTATTTAGCTATTTAGCCTACTGCAGCATGGCAGAGAATGTTTTTCCTTTTTGTAGTGAGTGTGTGTGAGCTGAAAAAACTGGATATCTGCAATGAATATCGTGCTCCTGGAAATAAAGTGGACAGCGAACATCCAGGAAAGAATCTGAGGATCCGACGCAATATACACACATTACAAACAACTCGATCTTCTTTAAATACAAATCATACTAAAAACACAAACAGTACACAAACAGTGAACATAGGGCAGAATACATGTACTCAAATTCCCAAGTTAAGGCCACGTTCACCAAAAAATTATTCTGCCCATTCTGAAGGTACTGTTTGTCTGAAGTTTTGGGCTTACAATGCAGACTTTGAGTGTAAATTTATTAATTGCTTTTTTAAACAGTTATTTCTATTTCATTATTAACACATGCATTTATATTAGTTTTTGATGTAATGCAATAAGTAGTAAATGCATGTATGTTAATATGTATATTTTTTTTTATCATTGATGTAGTTATGCCACATTTAGCAGTATGATATATTTATTTAAGTAAGTAATTTAAAAATATAGAATTATTTATATATAAGTATAAATAAAAAAATATTTATATACACAT